GCCGCCCAGGAGAACCGGGAGCTCAAGGCGCTGATCTCGGAGCTCGGGCTGGGCTACAGAGAGCTGGTCAAGGACGTGGTGCTGGGAATAGAGGACATGATCGGGGCCCTTCGCGGGGAGAACGCGCACCTTCTGCGCAGGATCCGGGTCCTGGAGAGGGAGGTCGCCCTGGGGGTGAGCTCAGATGCGGAGCGTCTGGGGGGAGCAGAGCAGCGCCCCCAGGGAGAAAGCCAGGAGGCAGTGGACAAGGTGGGGGCGGTGGACAAGGTGGGGACTGTAGAAAGGGCAGTGCAGGCAAGTCCGCCGTCAGAGCCGCTGACCGCGCGAGTCCATGGGCCGCCCTTGGAGGAGGACCCGGGTCTGCCCGGAGAGAGGATGGGCCCTTCCTCGGGCACAGAGAGTCCCAGGTGCGGAGCCAGGGCGGCCACTCCGTCGCCGGCCGGGAGAAGGGCTGATGTGTCCGGTGCCCTGCGAGGAGACCTCCACGGGATGGGAGCGAAAGAGGCGGGGCAGAGGGAAGAGCAGGTGCAAAGGCCCTGGGGTGCGTTAGGGAAACCTATGTGGCTGGTGTGGAGGCCCCAGGACATGAGGAGATGGGGACAGAGGGGGATACGTGGCAGAGGGGCTGTTTCCCACCCCCCTCATCTCTTCCCTCCTAGCCTGCTCCGGCTGAGCCCACCCTGCACGGACAGACTCTCCTCCTGCTCTGTGGCTGCCCCTCGGGGCAGAGCGCCAACGCCTCCCTCCTCCCCGAGGAGCTGGCCTGGATCTCCGCGCAGAGGCCAGCAGCCGCCCCGGCCCAGGAGTCCCTCCTCCTGGTGCAGACGTCTGTGCTCCCTCCCTGGGGGCCCGCCGGGGGCCCCGCTGCCCTGCTGCTCCAGGCAGTGTTTCCAGAAGAGCCCCAAATCCAACAGGGGCTGGACACCAGGCCCCTGCCTGCTCCCCGAGCCATGGACCACCCCCCGACAAGGAGCCACGGTGGCCCCCTCTGCTGGGAGGCCCCACAGATTCCCCACCTCCGCTTTCCTGGGACAGGGCCCGACCATCCGAGCGGCCCTTGGGAGGAGGGGGGAGGAGCCCCGGAGTGGAGAGCGGAGGCGTGGGGGGCGGGGGGGACGGGGGGCAGGAAGGAGGAGGACCTCGGGGAAAGCCAGGAGGG